ATAATATATATATAACATCAGTTATTATTAATTGATGTTTACATTTATTTTTAGACTTACTAGAGCTCAAATGCTCCACATTTTTTGCAAAAACTGTTTATTCTACAGATTTCAAATATGCTTTTAAATGATGATTGAATATTTCCTTTTTTTAATTATTTTTATTATTATTTTTCAATCTCAATCAACTTTTATAACTTTATGCCAGCACGATACAAATACATGTGTCTTTATTTTTTTTATTATTTTCATTATTATTTTTCAATCTCAATCAACTTCTATAACCTTATGCCAGCAGGATACAAATACATGTATGTCTTTATTATTGTATCAACTCTTGTCTTTTCCATGTAACCATGTCTTCATAGTTTGAATTATCCCTTCATCTTCTCAATCTTTCGCAGAGATTTAATTAATTAAATACACTTCACACGAAATAAAGTTTGCTGGAAGATATACAGCAAACGATAACTGTAAAAACATGATTACGTGGAAAGAACAAGAGTTGGTACAGTAAAGGCAAGTAAGTAAGTACATGTAATGTATCGTATTGGCATAACGCTATATCCGCGGAGCAGATAATGTGGCTGTAGAGGTAGTCTGCAGTGCAGCTAATGTGGACGTAGATGTTGATTGAGATAATTGTCTAATATAAAATAGAATTTAAAAATTTAGTTTAAAAAGCTGTTGCATATATAAATAAAGTTTATTTTTTCTAAATTTGGAATATGTTTAATTAATTAATTTTTTAAGTCTATGTTTAATAAATTTTTTAAGTCTGTATTCAATAATTTTATTCATTTGATAAATACATGTATGTCTTTATTTTGATATGTTTAATATAATTAGAAATTCATTATTAATTAGATATGTAAACTATAAATTCATATATAATATTTGAAAATATATGTGAATATTTAAATTTTTATCTTCTCCTTCCTCTCCTTCAATCTCTTTAATATCAATATGTGTATGTGTGTACACGCGCGCACATTTGTACGTATTTATTTAATTATTGGATAGTTGAGAGTACTTAATTGATAAAAAATTATGACAATAATAATCCTTGTTTTTTTTTCTTATTATTTACTCAGATTTTTTTGTCTATCTTATAAGATAAACACTTTAGAGATTGAATATTTCAAGTAAACTAATTGTAAGTAAATTTCACATTAATGCATATAGATGTTTAATCATGAATGTACTAAATAAGTACACAAGACGAACAGTGAGTGAGTGAGTGAGAATGAGAGAGAGTGTGTGTGTGTGCGTGTGTGTGAGAGAGAGAGAGAGAGAGAGAGAGAGAGAGAGAGAGAGAGAGAGAGAGAGAGAGAGAGAGAGAGAGAGAGAGAGAGTTAGCCAACAACCCCGCACGCTGCCGATCATGAATGTACTAAATAAGTACACAAGACGAACAGTGAGTGAGTGAGTGAGAATGAGAGAGTGTGTGTGTGTGTGCGTGTGTGTGTGAGAAAGAGAGAGAGAGAGAGAGAGAGAGAGAGAGAGAGAGTTAGCCAACATAACCCCGCACGCTGCCGATATGGCGGAGCGCCACTATCGCCATCTGTTGTAAAACGTGCGAGATGGACAAAATTACCACTACATGCATCTTGCATGTGTTGTGTACGTGTGATATATGTGTGCGCATGTGTTGTATACGTGTGAATACGTGTAGCACGATACTACTATGTATGCGTGGTCGATGATGATAATGATGATGATAATGATGATAATGATGATAATGATGACGGGGACGTTTCTTAATAGAAATTTTTCATATTTCGACTTTGCATTTATATATCTCTGCTTACAAATCACGTAGAGCAGAAATAAAGACACTTTTATTATATAATTCGAACTCAATCTATCGATTAAGTCTAGTATAAACTCGATTGCTTCAGCCATTATTGAGGATTCGAAATATTATAAAGACTCAAATGTCCGACTCGCGTTAAGATACACGGTGTCTCCGCTACGCCCTTAACTGGTCGCGAGACACTACCGTGTCTCTTGATACTTAACAAAATTAATCAGAGTCAAAAGCCAGAGAGAGAAGTTTCTTGAAATATTAATGGTTTTACATTTTACATTATTGACCATTTGCATATATCATCAATGTGCAATTATAAAAATTTAATTATTCTAATTGTTTGCGCGTACGCTCAATTGCTGACGTCGAACGTTCGCGCACGAAGCTACGGACTCTGACAATCGGGTTATAAATCCGATCGTCGAAATCCGTCTCGTGTATAGGTTGCACAGGAAGATTCAAAGTGGACTGTATCTTAAGGAGGGTGGACGCGCTCCGATTGGTGCGCGGGATAGGTAACGATTTAAGCCGCGTGCCGAATCGAGAACCAGAATCCTGAATTATATGCACAAATTACACAAAAACAATCCATTTATTAATTAAACTAAATTTGTCCGGGAATCACAATGTACATAAACGCAAATTAATTTAAAACTTTTACATAAAATCTTTCTCTTAACGAATAAAGTAGTCACCGCGAAAACACGTACGACGTGGTTGCTAAGCAGTCCGAGATATCTCACTATATGGTATCTAGCATGTGTTGCATGGAACCACCGAGAAACTATTTGTTGCATAACAATTGCTATTTACGATGAACACGCTCGAAACTCGTGTATCGAATCTTTCGAAATCTCACATTAAGATTTCGTACACGTTGCCGATTGCGGCGAATGCGATATTAAATCGCGAACCGAATTGTCTCACTTAACATGAATAGTCACTGATCACATAAAACGTTACAGTGCGTTGAGCACCACGGGCTCGAAGGGATGAAAAAAGGAACGCAAACACAATCACGACATCAGGTATCAGTCCCAGGTGACTTATCACGTGATCTGCGCGCGCCAACTCACGTGATCTACGCGTGCCAAGCGAACACGCGCGAGCCTCATGTATCGAACAGATACTTTTAATTAATACAATTATTACGTTCGTGTAAACGATCGGATTTCGGCACCTTGATATTTCACCGCCGCGCGAATTCTGGTCCCACAAAATCACTGAATATCGTTGATAATGTCTCGCAAACTTTATGTCGCGTATATATCGACGCACCTTGCTGCTACCGTTAATTAGCGAATGTCAAAGTGAACGTATTTCACATCTCACATATCACTGAATCACAGCAGGATATCAATCTGATTAATTTTTTATTAATCAAACGAGCTACGAACAATTAAAATCGCGACGAGAAAACCCATATGTGATTATTCGCAAAGCCGTGCCAGGAGCGAATGACCAGGTTTGATGACGAGGCAGTTCATCCCCGATCGATTCGATAATCGAACGCTTGAAGCGCGGCGTGTAGGTTCAGTGCGTGCTGCCCCGTGCCGGATTAAATCAAAAATTATAGAATTTCGAAATTATCGACCTACTTCTTTATTCTCTTTGAACAAATAATAAAGTTCTTGACCTGGGGTTAACTTACTTCTGAACACTAATATCATTTCAAAATGTGTTATATAAGACGATACACAAATACGTATAAATTCTTAAATATAATTATTACAATTAAAATTATCTTAGCAATACTGATTCATTTCTCTAGAAACTGTTTAAATACAGAGTCCAATATAAATGTAAATTTGATTAATTGACTAGTAAAATATAAGATTTTTATTTTGTGATGCAGGTATACATACATATACATAACATACATATAATATACATAACATAATACAATATGCTGTCTTTAAGTATGATAAACACTACCTTTCTTGACATTCCCAAACTAAATAGCAAGTTTGTCTTTCAATCTTTTAACACAGAGCTCGGCAAGAAATGCACATTTCGCCCGATTTTCAATTGACTCCGCCCAGCGCTTTTCCCTTACCTCGACGTCCCGCGCGCAGCCTACGAGCCGCGCGAGGCTCAGGACCGTGTCACCTCGCGACTCGCGACCGTATCGTGTCACCGGACCTCGCATACATATTTTTAATAGCTTTCCACATCACCCAGGGGGTACTATATTATCGACGCGTTTTTTTAAAGTGGTTTCCCCGTTAGGCCTAATCCACTGATGACTGAGACGACCTTTTAATAGCTTTAATTAATTTAAAAGAAGCAGAATTTTAAATATTAAGTGAAATAAAAAATACTCATATTCAGATTCACGACTTTCGGGCTTTTTTACAAGCGACAGCAGGAACGTCGATCTGCATATTGCACGTAGCAAGACGCATAAGACGCGGTAAAGAATTGTCGCTTAAACAAGAACGTTTTTCATTTTTAATAAACTTCATTTTCGAGAAAGAAGTCTCACATAAATATGTGGATCCGAACATAGAATAAATTCGGAGTCCGAAATCTCGAAGCTTGGGGTAGGTTGATTTTGATAAAACGTTATAAAATTCTGCACCGGTTTCTTGAACCGTTTTCAGAGAAATATCATTTTGTAGGTCACATAATTCATCCCGTAAATTAATCTGCTGTTCTGCGATTGGCGCTGTAAGAGGATTCTCGAAAAGAATTAATTCTGTTCGAAGTTTTTCGAAGCAGGTGAAACGCGTATCGAATTCTTCTATAACAGAATCTACGAAATGAATATTTTCTTTGAAATTACAGCTACTGCCGTGTTCTTCGAAAAGAATCTGGCAAGAAGGAAAATAATAAAAAATGTTGTTATTTAAATCAGATTTAAATAACTGTAATTTGCTTCGGAAAGAATCAACATGACTAACTAATTGGGAAATATTTTGAGTTGGTTTTTGCAGCTTTAAATTGAGAAGCCTAAGTTGATTAGTCATGTCAGTAATGAAGGCAAGTTCGGAAAGAAATGTTATATTTTCTAAAAGAGATATATATTCCTGAAATTTTGGATTGTTAGCTTAAAATTTAAAAGATTTTTCGCACGCATATACGTTGAAAACAATCCGCGGCAGGCGCAGCAGCAACCGTCGCGTGGGCGATCGTCAATTGTTTTCAACGTATATGCATGCTAAAAATCATTTGAGCTCTCTACGTCGTAGTGGGTACATCAGCGGATAGAGTTGCGGACGTTTGCGATTAAAAAAAAGGTATTGTTCTTCTTTTAACAAATCAATCTTAAGGATGGATCACAAAAGATATGTTCAAGAATTTGATCAGTCTTGGGAAGTTAATTATTTCTTCGGTTACATTTCCGATCGAACGGTTTGTTTACTTTGCGGTTTTGAACCTTCGAAGAACTATGAATACCGCCCATACTTTCCTCTTCAATTCTCACTACATAGCCGATTAGATGATTAGAAAAAGAAAGTAATAAATGTTGGTGCAATCAGGTCCCTTAGGCTGGAGTTCCATAGGCTGGGTCCCTTAGCCTGGAGTCCCATAGAGCGGATTACTAATCACGGGATCGCTCCGATAGTGCCCTTTCAAAGATCCAAAAGAAACGATCTTGTGATTGGCGATCCGCTGATTCCGCTTCCGCGTAATCCGCTCCATGGGACTTCAGCCTTAGTCAGGGACGCACGCAAGGTGAGGGTATCTGTCATATTTGGAGTAAGCATTGTAGAATGTAGAAAAACGCTCGATTAAAATATTTTTATTTAAATAAAAAAAATAAAATAATTTATTTTTATTTAAAAATAATATATCTAAATAGAGCATTTTTCTATATCTTCATCATATTTTATAATTCTACATGATATTATACTGCACATATAACAGACATTTTAATGTCTTACATCCCTCTGTTTTAATATATTTTGTGTTTTTAGTATTAAATATTTGTAAGTTACGAAATTTTGCCCTTTTTACGATACGATTTTTACCAAATATGAAAGAACTCGAATGTTGTCAACGTGAAATAAGTAGATGTATGTAATAATGACACATTATATTTAGAAGTGAGTACTTTGTTATGTTTTCATAGCTTTTAATACAAGAGTATATAACTTAAGCTTAATAATTTTTTAGTTAATCAATTTTTTATTGACAGTGTAATTATTGCTAGAAATAATGTGGATGGTGTGCCTGCAAAACAGTTCTGGGATAATTATTGTGGGATAACAATAATATAAAATGTTTTTAAGCATTGTTTCTTACTATTTATGAAACTTGAAGGAAGCCTGAATTATTATGATGCTAACTACACAGGTAAGCATGCAGTACAAGTATATCTTTGTCATACTGCCTATTAATATATAATCATATTTATTTTTATTTTAGCAGAAGACAATAATAAATAAATGATAATCCGCAAACCATGTTGCATCGAATGTCAAAAAGGAATTCATTACAAAGCATGAGAATCTTTTAAGCGAGAACTTAATATATAGTCTCCGCTAATAGAATCTTATGATCTATGATGGAATTGTCAACGCTTATTATTATATTTGCAAAAATTCGTGAAGTATTAACGATTTCATATTGTTGATATGTTAAAAGATTGAAAGACAAACTTGCTATTTAGTTTGGGAATGTCAAGAAAGGTAGTGTTTAATAGCGAATTCGATTGGATACACTAGTGCGCACTGAATGCAATAAAGGTTTATCACACACAAGTTCACAATGACACAAGTAATTAAAAAAGGAAAATAATTAATAGTAATTAAAAGCTGTTATTATTGATGTTCAATATGAATAATGACAATACCCATTAAACACTAATAGCGAATTCGATTAGATGCACTAATGCATATAAAGGTTTATCACACACAAGTTCACAATGACAAAAGTAATTAAAAAAAGAAAATAATTAATAGTAAAAGCTATTATTATTGCTGTTTAATATGAATAATGATAATAATAGCTCTTATACTATTAATTATTTTACTTCTTTAATTACTTATGTCCTTGTAAAATTGTGTGCAATAATCTTTATGTGCACTCAGTGCGCACTATAGTGCATCCAACCGAATTCGCTATAAGTAACAGTAATATAACATCAATATTATAATTTTTCACTCAACAATGTAACGGTAATATAACATGCCTTGTAATGCATCAGTTACATTGTTAAGTAGGAAATTATAACATCAATGTTATATTATTGTTACTTAGTGTTAATTAGTGAGTAATACCTCTTACTATATTAATTATTTTACTTTTTTCAATTACTCATGTCATTGTAAAATTGTGTGCAATAACCTTTATATGCACTCAGTGCGCACTAGTGCATACAACCGAATTCGCTATTACATACTTAAAGGCACGATATTGTATTATGTATGTATATTATATGTATGTTATGTATAGGTATGTATTCTGCATCATAAGATAAAAATCTTATAATATTTTGTTATTAATCAATTAATCAAATGTACATTAATTTGGACTCTGTATTTAAACATAGAGTTTCTAGAAATAAATCTGTATCATTAATTATAAATTATATTTGAAATGATTATACATACGGATTGACATGTATATATACCGTCTCACATAACAGTGTTATTCTTTCTAAAGGGTACATGTCATATCTAATTGCAGCATGTTTGTTATCTATTACAAAAGAAAACTCCTTTAACATTTTGTTCTTAGTCGATATTTCAACTTTACAATTTTATTGAAGCGTATATATAAGCACATTATTTTTCATAATCTTGTATTAATGTAATTATATTTGTAATAGTTATACTTAAAGGTTTACATGTACGTACAATCTTATATAATACATATATATATATATATATATATATATATATATACTAATCTAGTACAAATACCACATACAAATATCAATTTCTATACATCAAGTATACAATATATATGCGACACTATATAAGTTATAAGAATATATTAAGATATACGGGCGCATGAGTGAGTACATAAAAAACTTCTTTTGCATTGAAGATTGAAATTGTACAATATTTTATCAATTAGAACAAAAAAGCAAATATTTATTTTTTTATGATTAGTTAATTAGTATGATATAATTAATCAAATTCCATGCAATTTTAATCTTCAATGCGTAGTCTAACTTCATACAGATTAGATACATACAAAACAGTACTAGCAGAGATATACTGTCAAATGGTTTAAAAAAATATACATGCAGCTTGTGTATATATACATATATATACTAATTCAGTTCAAATATCATATATAAATATAAATTTCTATATATCAGGTATACAATATATAGGGATAGGTACTTTATGCTTTGAGCATGATAGCATAATGTGTCAAAAACTGTTCTGAAGCATAAATTTTACTAGTTATGCATAGTACACACTTAATATTGACAGATTTCAATCGCATAATAACGCATAATAACACTTCCGCGCAGCATAATGCGATTTTCGCATAAATATCGCATAATAAGGCAGTTTTTGTATTTAAAACACTCGGATTTGGGAGAAAACGACGAATTTTTCAAAATTGAACCTTTTTTTTAGGCTGTTATATATTATATAAATTCAAAATTGAACCTTTTTTTAGGCTGTTATATGTTATATATTACGTGAAAGATTGAAATAGTACAAATGCATAAAAACGCACAAATAACGGATTTAATACGCATAATTGGCGCATAATTGCTAGATTTTTCGCGCATAATAAGAGCATTTTCAGACACTTTTTCCTGGCATAATTCATAGGTATTCAAAAGCATAAAGTACCTATCCCTAACAATATATATGCGACACTATATAAGTTAAGAATATATTAAGATATACGGGCGCACGAGTGAGTACATAAGAAACTTCTTTTTCAAATATATCATGTCTATTACATTATATCTTTATATTTTTATATTATATGTAGCGATCTTTTTGTTTTTATTACACTTAAATTTAAGCATTGCATATAATTGACTACGCATAGTTTCTATGACTTGAAGATTTCTAAAATTACTTTTTCTAAACTTAATCTATGTTTATTATTAATCTTTCATGTATTACATTTAAACAAATGAGATCACTTATTAGAATAAATGAGATATTTGTAAAAATTAAATATTATTGTACTTGTATTAAGCTGTTTATATATATGATTGATCAAAAGATTCTTGTCAGTTCTTTTTACTTTGCGATTTAAAATAAAGAAAAAATTTCGAGACTTAAACAAAAAATCAAATACCTTTACTTGTAGAAATTAAATTGCACAAGTAATCCATTGTTAGTAAGATTATACGTCACAAATTCTATTTTTCTTACAGCATTCCTTGATAATGTAATCATTATTATTACAATCAATGAAAAAAAGGATTGATTAAAGTAAAGCCCAGCTTAATAACTGAACACACTATAAAATTACTTTTTTCTGAAATATTCAATTATTTAAATAAATAAGTCGAAGCATCTGTAAAATAAAATTTACTAAAATAAAATACTTACATGTATGTTTCAGAGTTTTCTGTTTGTTATGAAGCCATGTTTTTATTTGGGGTGACGTTCGATGAGCCAATGAAGTGTATTTTTTTTTCATTTCTTGAATCTCTCTTAAAGATGGTAGAGTGAGATTTTCCATATGTTTAGCAAAAGCTTCAAGCACTGCTTCTTTTTCTTTTTCAGTCCAGCGCATTCTTTTAGTTTTTCCATAAGGAGATGCTAGAAAAAAACAATATTGAAAAATAATATATACAATATGTGCACATTATAAGTTTTCAATTGCAAGAGTATACACACTGTAAACAAAAGAGTAAAGTACATTGAATGATACATCCCAGTATAAAATTTTTTATACATAGTCATATATAACACACACAATATAAAATTATATAGAAATATGTATATAAAATTATGCATAAGCTATGTATAATTATATATAATTTTATACAATTTCTATTAAAATCATCTTATTAAATTCGTATAAAATATATAATTATGCATAAGCTATATATAATTATATATAATTTTATACAATTTCTATTAAAATCATCTTATTAAATTCGTATAAAATATATAATTATGCATAAGCTATGTATAATTAAATAAATCAAATATAGTAGGCCAACTGAACGAGCAAATAAATAAGGTGTAAAAATTTTTTATTATTAGTTAAATAATTAAATTAACATTCTGTTACAGAATCGATATAAATTGTAAACGTTTCGACTGCACTACAGTTTTATCAATACGTAAAAGTTAAATATTAAAATACAAAGTTAAATGTTAAAAATACAAAGTTAGTTAAATATTAAAATATAAAATTAAAACGATTCTTCGCTGTTGACCAATAGATATGCAAGGCGATTGGTCTGAGATGCCAAGTTATGCGACATTTGAACATGCTGCGGATATAATACGCGAATTAAATCAATGTCAGAGAAAATTAAAAAATCTTTCAACTTACATTATCGTTTTAACAAGTCCTTTTCCCGATATTTCAAGTGTGTGTTGCGAAGTCTGAATACCAAATGTCAAAATAGAGAGCGTGATGTATTTATTTATTACCAATGTTTTTTCTAAATTATGATTCAGCAAATTTTTTAAGTATGTCAAAATAACTACTGTCTAACAATTCGGTGTCTTTATTTAAATTAATTCCATTTTTCTGTTCTTTAATGTGGATCATTTCAGATATTAGTCTTTTATGGTAATTCTTTTCATGATCCATAATTTTAATATTGTCCCAGTCAAATGTATGTTGTTCGTTTAGAATGTGTTCCGTGACAACCGAATGTCTAGCAGAGTCTAATTTAATATTATTTTTATGTTCTTTAAGTCTCGTTCCTAACTGTCTTTTTGTCTGTCCGACATATGTGGCGTCACAATCGTTGCAATTCAATTTATAAATAACGTTAGAATTCGTGGGGCAATTATTTTTGTCCTTTTGAACTTTTATGAAGTCATTCAATTTTTTAATGCAACGATATCCTACCACTACGTCAGGTCTTCTTATTGCTGAAGCAACTTTCTCAGATATTGATTCTATATATGGTATGACAAAATATTTAATATTAGTATTAGTATTATTAGTATCTGTTATATTGTTATTATTAGGCTTGTTAAATTTCTTAGTTGAGAGATTTTTTAATCTGCGTTTTATTTCTGTGAAAATTAGATCAAGAGGATAACCGTTGGATAGCAAAATGTTAATAGCTTTCTCTATATTTTTTTTGTGAAATTGCGGATGTGATAGTAATAAAGCTCTATCTACCAAGTTATAAATTGTTCCTATTTTATGACAAGTCGGATGATTTGAAAAAAATGAAAGTAATCTACCTGAGAATGTCTTTTTGTGATACCAATCTAAATAAATTTTATTATCTATTACTTTGATCATTATGTCTAAAAAGCTTATACACCGATTATCCTCTTTTTCCAATGTAAATTGTAGTCTATCGTTATAATTGTTGAATTCGTTCAAAACATATGTAATATTGTCAGCGGAAGTGCATAAAAAAATGTCGTCTACATAACGGAAATAGAAAGTCATTTCGCAATTTAAATTACTAATTACTAATGTTTCCAAGTCCTGCATGACTATATCGGCAATGATCGGAGAAAGTGGGGAACCCATAGGGTCCCATAAATTTGTTTGTAAGTTATGTTATTAAAAGTGAAAAATGTAGAAGTTAATATAAATTTTATCATACCTATGAATTCATTTTTGGGAATCTTTGTGTGTGACTCTATAAAATGCCATCTATTATTGATACCGTTTAATGCAAGATCTACGGAAACATTAGTAAATAATGAAACAACGTCCAATGAAACTATTATGTCGGAATCTTGTATTGTTTTCCCTGATAGAATGTTGCATATATCAAAACTATTATTTACAAAACTGTCCGCTCTAGGAAGGCTATCTTTTAAAATTTTATGAAAGAAGGAAGCAATATTATATAGAGAAGTATTTATTGAGGAAACTATTAATCTAAAAGGAATATCTTCCTTGTGGATCTTGGTGAGCCCATAGGCTTTAGGAAGAAGAGAGTCGCTTGAAAATAAATAATAATATTCTTTTTTGTTGATGAAATCTTTTTTCAACCATTTTTTTAAACAAATATTGAGGTCTTTTTCTATTTTTGTTGATGGATTGTTTTTAACTATGGTATACGTAGAATCGTCTTCTAGGAGACTCTCAACTTTTTTTATATAAAATTCTTTTTCTAGTGCGACTGTAATGCTGCCTTTATCTGCTCTAGTAAATAAAATATTAGGATTTTGATTGCAGAATTTAATTGTGTCTTTGTGCATGTGAAATAATTTTTCTTGTATGTCCGTTTTTTTGTCGTTATTGTTTAAAAATAATGAAAATTGTGGAATGGCGGCATTACGAATCGAAGTACGATTTCTGATCCCGTTAGAATTGCTTTCTATATCTTTGATGAATTCGTGTATAGCTACTTTTTTATTTAAGTTAACTGGGAGACTAAATTCACCTCCCAATTTTAATAGATTGGTTACATTGGGGGGAATATTTTTATCAGTTAAATTAATAAACCATTTCTGGTTAGTTTGTTGTAAAGGATTATGTGTAGCACAACGAAAACTGTTGGCAGAAACAGTGTTATCAACAATATTTGTCGATGATGTTGTTTTTAATTCGATAGGATCAATATTTTTAATGTACTCTTTTTCATGCGATTTACGTAGCCATAGGAATTTTTTCTTATGTATGAGATATAATTTTTGGTTGAATAAAGAAAAGGAGTTGCAATGGTGATTTAAAATCTCCTGCCAGATATAAGATGGTAAAAGATTTTGGAGAATTTGGAATTGCCTTGACCGTTTTTTATTAAGTGAGTTTAATGTTCTATATAAATCAAATATCTCTATGTTAAGAATTTCAGTTCTGATATTATGCAACAAACCACGCATCCTATTTTTTGATTTATAGTGGTAGAAAACAAATTTATTGTTACAGAAATTACGCAAATGGTTGGGAAACAGACAATATCTCTTACATTCCCTTAAAAATTTCACCTTCGACATTGCTTTAATTATCGCATAATTAAAATTTAGCCAAGATTTAAAATGTTTTAACGTTTCTGGACCAAAATAGTTATAAATAAAACTAGAATTAAAACGATGGTATTTAAACGGGTAATTAGTCCCACGCTATCAGCGTCTATCAGGGAAAACAATACAAGATTCCGACATAATAGTTTCATTGGACGTTGTTTCATTATTTACTAATGTTTCCGTAGATCTTGCATTAAACGGTATCAATAATAGATGGCATTTTATAGAGTCACACACAAAGATTCCCAAAAATGAATTCATAGGTATGATAAAATTTATATTAACTTCTACATTTTTCACTTTTAATAACATAACTTACAAACAAATTTATGGGACCCCTATGAGTTCCCCACTTTCTCCGATCATTGCCGATATAGTCATGCAGGACTTGGAAACATTAGTAATTAGTAATTTAAATTGCGAAATGACTTTCTATTTCCGTTATGTAGACGACATTATTTTATGCACTTCCGCTGACAATATTACATATGTTTTGAACGAATTCAACAATTATAACGATAGACTACAATTTACATTGGAAAAAGAGGATAATCGGTGTATAAGCTTTTTAGACATAATGATCAAAGTAATAGATAATAAAATTTATTTAGATTGGTATCACAAAAAGACATTCTCAGGTAGATTACTTTCATTTTTTCAAATCATCCGACTTGTCATAAAATAGGAACAATTTATAACTTGGTAGATAGAGCTTTATTACTATCACATCCGCAATTTCACAAAAAAAATATAGAGAAAGCTATTAACATTTTGCTATCCAACGGTTATCCTCTTGATCTAATTTTCACAGAAATAAAACGCAGATTAAAAAATCTCTCAACTAAGAAATTTAACAAGCCTAATAATAACAATATAACAGATACTAATAATACTAATACTAATATTAAATATTTTGTCATACCATATATAGAATCAATATCTGAGAAAGTTGCTTCAGCAATAAGAAGACCTGACGTAGTGGTAGGATATCGTTGCATTAAAAAATTGAATGACTTCATAAAAGTTTAAAAGGACAAAAATAATTGCCCCACGAATTCTAACGTTATTTATAAATTGAATTGCAACGATTGTGACGCCACATATGTCGGACAGACAAAAAGACAGTTAGGAACGAGACTTAAAGAACATAAAAATAATATTAAATTAGACTCTGCTAGACATTCGGTTGTCACGGAACACATTCTAAACGAACAACATACATTTGACTGGGACAATATTAAAATTATGGATCATGAAAAGAATTACCATAAAAGACTAATATCTGAAATGATCCACATTAAAGAACAGAAAAATGGAATTAATTTAAATAAAGACACCGAATTGTTAGACAGTAGTTATTTTGACATACTTAAAAATTTGCTGAATCATAATTTAGAAAAAACATTGGTAATAAATAAATACATCACGCTCTCTATTTTGACATTTGGTATTCAGACTTCGCAACACACACTTGAAATATCGGGAAAAAGGACTTGTTAAAACGATAATGTAAGTTGAAAGATTTTTTAATTTTCTCTGACATTGATTTAATTCGCGTATTATATCCGCAGCATGTTCAAATGTCGCATAACTTGGCATCTCAGACCAATCGCCTTGCATATCTATTGGTCAACAGCGAAGAATCGTTTTAATTTTATATTTTAATATTTAACTAACTTTGTATTTTTAACATTTAACTTTGTATTTTAATATTTAACTTTTACGTATTGATAAAGACTGTAGTGCAGTCGAAACGTTTACAATTTATATTGATTCTGTAACAGAATGTTAATTTAATTACCCAGTAAACATTAGGACATTCTATGTATGTCCTATGTATATACATATGTGGATATTTTATATTCTCTGTATATACACAGAATGTGGAAAGTATATACAGCGCATATCGAATGTATGTGAAATAATTACTACATGTATGTACATGGCATATTTAAAGTATATACATAGGTATATTCTAAAGATATGTAATGTATGCCCTACGTATATACATATATGTATATAAATTTCATTACCTATGTATATACATAGAATGTGAAAAGTACATACAGCGTATATTAAATGTGCATACAAATATGTATATCCTATGTATATACATATATGGATATAAATTTCATTACCTATGTATATATATAAAATGTAAAAAGTATATACATCGCATATTATACGTATGTACATAGCATGTTTACAGTATATACATAAGTATATTTCAAAGATATGCAATGTATGTCCTATGTATATACATATGTGGATATAAATTTCATTACTTTTGTATGTACATAGAGTGTGAAAAGTATGTACAGTGCATATCATATGTATGTGAAATATTACCACAAGTATGTACATAGCATGCCTACAGTATATACATAGATACACTGAAAAAAGAAGTTAATCTAACAAAATATTTAGATGAATACGTGCAATTAATTGTAAATATTTATTTAAATTAAGCAAAGATATATTTAAATCATCAAAATACTGTATATTTAACTGTATATTTTATTAATTTAAATATATCTTTGCTTAATTTAAATAAATATTTAGTTGCACGTATTCATCTAAATATTTTGTTAGATAAACTATTTTTTTCAGTGTATCTGTTAGATAAATATTTTTTTTTCAGTGTATCGACGTGATGAATGAAAATAATCTTATAATAAGAGTATGTCAGTTTTATTTTGTAAAAGAATTATTTTAATACTTTTTAAAACTTCTAAATTTTACAGTACTTAGTTCAGACAATATAAATTATATTTGAAACAAATGCGATTACAAATTATATTTAAAAACTAAATATAGGGTAAACCCAGGTAAGATGGCCATACGGAAAAGATGGCCATATAGGCTGGTTTTTTTATTTATAAGTTAAATAATGCACTTGTTTAGTAATTTTCAAAGATATTCAGATTATCTTTTCCGTATGGCCATTTTACCCGAATTTACCCTACAAAGTGGAGAATTTTAAAGAAACTATTGAATTGTTTCATTATATCTGAAATATGGAAAAAGTATTTCATACAATAAGGAAATTAATTCGTAAAGATATATATGTGATTAAATTATAGTATATTATAATTTTTTTTTTTATTTATAACTTCAAAATTAAATCTCTTTACTAAATATATTTTTTAAAATAAAATTGCACGTTTGGCAGAGATTACAAATATATGTTTTGTATATTTTTGAGAATTATTATAAACAATACAAAACACAATTTTTTATCACATATATTTTGATAAAATATAAATTTTTAATTATGCTCTTTACTCTCTTATTAAATAGAATATCCTTAGTATGTTTCAACTTTGGACGTTTAGACTCGTATACACACCGCTCATAAATATTTCTTTACTCAAAAAAAGTTTTATGTTATATTATAAAAAAAATCCTAAATAATTTGTAGCGCTTTTCACAATCTTAAACAAACACAATGCGCTATATTTTATAATTTATCTAATTATTAAGTTTTGAAATTAATAAATGCATTATAAGAAATATGATATAAGCGATGATAGTGTACATAATAAAATAAAAATAAAAATTTCAAAGAACGTTTAAATAAAAATTAAATATTTTAACTATCGTAATAAACGTTAACTTAAGTAACAATAAATATTTTTTTGTTTAAGCTTGTGTATCGGTTTCGTTCATCGTTACTTCCCCTTCGGTTGCTACATTCTTCACGTTTTTAGTGACATTGCAGATACGATCTTTGCATCTAACCAGCCAAGATTTGATAAAACTAATAACTTCTGCTTCAGTTGCATCGGCTGTATTCTTGCAATATCGAACAGCACCTAATATAACAAATTAGTACAAAATAAAAGTAAAACATTAACTGTATTAAAAAATATTAATTATATAAAAATATAAATAATAATATAAAAAATTATTATTAATTTTGTGGCGATTACATCGTCACATACTTCCCTGAGATTAATAAGGAAAACACGCATACGAATACGAACACTGACATATACGAAAAGGACAAAGGCACAAGTAAATATAAATAAAATATTACAGACGAGACGAAAGACGAGTAGGACAGAAACAAAGAAGTAAAAATAGATAGAAAGTTCGCGAAGCCTCTCGAAGCCTAGCGAAGGGCGTTTTTGAGGCAAGGTATAAATAGGGGATTTTTAGATAACGATATACCGTCTTCGATAGTTGCCGCGCACGGACGCATCACGTTTGTAATCCGAGCGATATATCTAACTGTATTCACGCGTACCGTTTACACTAAAGAATATATTCAGTTAATTCAATCATTGCATAACTTTATTTAATTCCCGCATCGTTCCTCCTAAGCACTCGCGACGCGCGTATATAACAAAGTGGTGACCCCGACGTGATCGCGAGAGAGCGGGAATTTGCGATTCTTTTGTGCTCGCGTGAGAGAGCGGTACATTTTTTTTACTTTTTATTGTGACGACCGGTGAGACGATCTATTCGATCGGACCCGGGAAAAGTGATAGTGACCAGTTGCGTGTAAAAAAAAACTATTTGACATGATTGTGACGCGAGACGATGGAGTGATCGGTTCGCGCGTAGAGACGGAGGCGCGAACGTACGAGCAGCCGCGTGTGCAGGTGCAGCAGGCAGCCCCGATCACAATGCAGGCGGCCTCGAGTGCGATGCAGGCGGCCAAGTTGGAGCAGCCGCCGGGATACTTTTTCACCGCTCCCGAGATAAACCGTGTTGGCATGCGAATGCCAGAGTTTACGCCTTCGGATCCGGAGCTCTGGTTTAATATCGTTGACCGGAGTTTCCAGGCCGCCGGAATCACGGTCGATGCTACAAAATTCGGCTACGCCCTAACATCCATCGGGCCGAATTACACTGCCGAGGTGCGAGATATCATCATGAACCCGCCTGCGGAGCACGCGTACGAAACATTGAAGACGGAGCTGGTCAAGCGTCTGAGCCTGTCACAGGAGCACAAGACCCGGAGGCTCCTGGAACATGAAGAGATTGGAGATCGCAAGCCGTCTCAATTTTTGAGACACCTCCGCGGCCTCGCTGGAAACGTGGTTGGCGACCCCGTTTTGCGGACGATCTGGCTTAGCCGATTGCCGGCTTACATTCAGCCGCATCTGGTGACGCGCACGGCGGACACGATCGAGCAGTTGGCCGATATCGCGGATGCGATCGTTGAGGCGACCCGGGCACCGGCGTTTCAGGTGGCCGAGGCGTCAAAATTCGTGCCACCGCAGACGCAAGGCGCGAGCGATCCCGGGGCCTTGGAAGCCAGGATGGAGGTGCGACTGGCGCAAATGCGGCTTGCAATGCAGCAAGAGATGGCAGAACAGCTGACGGCCATACGTAAGTCGATTGAATCCATTGGCGATAACCGATATCGCGACGATGATCGACGTCGTTCGCGACCTCGTTCGCGTTCACGTTCACGCCCGCGAGCGCGATCCGGCAGCCGTGGTCCACCGGCCAGCGGCGTATGCTGGTATCATTGGCAGTTTGGAGCGGAGGCACGGCAGTGCAGACCACCCTGCTCGATGCAGATACCGGGAAGCGCAGGAACGGGACGTTAGAGGCGGCAAGCGACCCGGAACATAGTGCGCGCCGCTTATTCGTGACGGACACAAACACGAAAACGAATTTTTTAGTTGACACGGGCGCGGATCTCTGCGTGTTCCCTCGAAAGATGGTTCGAGGGCCACGACAGAGATCGACCTACGAGTTATCGGCCGCCAACGGCACACCAATATACACATACGGGACGGAAAACATGACTTTGAATCTCGGATTGCGACGGGCTTTTACGTGGCGTTTCGTGATCGCGGACGTGTCGAAACCAATAATCGGTGCCGATTTCCTCGCGCATTATGGCCTCCTCGTGGATCTGCGCAATTCTCGCCTCGTCGATCAGCTGACGAGCTTGACCGCACGCGGGCGTTGTATCCATTGCAACGTACCGCATATTAAAACGATCACAGGGGAGACGCCGTACCACCGGTTGTTGGTGGAATACGCGGACATTACGAGGCCGAGCGGACAAATTCAAGAAACGATCCACGCCACGCGACATTTTATTGAAACGACGCCGGGACCGCCTGTCGCGTGCCGACCACGAAGACTCGCTCCGGATCGACTCGCGGCCGCGAAAAAGGAGTTCCGACAGATGGTTGAGACCGGAATCGCGCGACCTTCGAAGAGCAGTTGGTCGGCGCCCTTACACATGGTGCCGAAAAAGGGCGAAGAATGGCGACCTTGCGGCGATTATAGAGCACTCAACGCGAGGACGATTCCGGACCGGTATCCTGTGCGACATATCCAGGATTTTGCACAGGCCCTCGGAGGAAAAAAACTATTCTCAACGATAGATCTGGTGCGGGCGTACCACCAGATTCCAGTGGCGGAGGAGCATATCCCGAAGACGGCGATCACCACACCGTTTGGCATGTACGAATTTCCGTACATGTCATTCGGATTGAGAAACGCGGCGCAGACGTTTCAGAGATTCATCGACGAAGTCTTACGCGGATTAGACTTTTGTTACGCGTACGTCGATGACATTCTGGTCGCGTCAACGTCGGAGGAGGAGCATCGAAACCATCTTAGAGCAGTATTCGAACGTCTGCGGGAATACGGGGTGATCATCAACCCCGCGAAGTGCGTATTCGGACAGCAGAAGGTAGAGTTCCTGGGATACGAAGTTTCCGACGGGGGAACACGACCGCTGCCGACACGTGTGGAGGCGATCCTCGCGTGTCGAGAGCCAGGAACGGCAAAGGAGCTGCGACGCTACCTAGGCATGCTCAACTTCTACCGACGATTCCTGCCGAGAGCTGCCGAAATGCTGGCGCCGTTGAACGATCTCCTCCACGGCAACGTCAAAGGGAAAGCGGCGATATCGTGGACGCCGCGAGCGCAGGAGGCATTCAAGAATTCGAAAGAGAGCTTGGCACAGGCCGCGCTCTTGCGACACCCCAGGATAGACGCAGAGCTCGCCCTGTTCACTGACGCGTCGGAGCAGAGCATCGGCGCGACTTTGCAACAGCGTGGCAGCGACGGATGGGAGCCGTTAGCCTTCTTCTCGAAGAAGCTAAGCCCATCCGAGATGAAGTACAGCGCGTTCGACAGAGAACTGCTGGCAATCTACCTGGGGGTCAAACACTTTCGATACATGCTGGAGGCGCGCGCGTTTGTGATCTACACGGATTACAAACCGTTGATCTACGCTTTTCGTCAACGACCAGAGAAGAGCACGCCGCGCCAGTTCCGCCACTTGGACCTCATCGGGCAGTTCACAACCGACATCCGGCACGTGACAGGCGAGGAGAACGTCGTGGCGGATGCGTTATCACGAGTCGAGGAGCTGAATTCTTCCCTGGACTACGCTGCACTGGCGGAGTCGCAGGGGACTGACAAAGAACTCGACGATTATACAAGGCGAGAGACCGGAATAAAACTTGAGAAAGTGCAGATTCCCGGAACGGGGATACAAGTCTACTGCGATACGACGACATCGACACCGCGACCGTTTTTGACAAGACCCTTTCGGCGGGCCGCATTCAACTTGGTGCACGACCTGGCACACCCAGGAATCAAGGCGACGGGCAGACTCGTGGCGCAGCGCTACGTCTGGCCGTCGATGAACGCTGACTGCCGCAGTTGGGCGCGTGCATGCGTGCCCTGTCAACGTTCGAAGGTCACTCGACATGTCTCGGCGCCATTAGGAAGATTTGCAGTACCATCGAGCAGATTCGAGCACGTACACCTGGACATTATCGTGATGCCCGTCTCAGAGGGCATGCGATACTGTCTCACGTGCGTGGACCGCTTCACACGGTGGCCGGAGGCGTTCGCACTACGAGACCAGGAGGCGGAGACGGTCGCAAGAGCATTTTACGAGGGATGGATTTGCAGATTCGGGGCGCCCGTGCGAGTAACAACGGACCAGGGGCGCCAGTTCGAGTCCCATCTCTTTCGACGGCTGAGCGAGATGACTGGAGTACAGCACCTGAGGACGACGGCGTACCACCCGCAGGCCAATGGCATGGTTGAGAAGTTGCATCGCCAGCTCAAGGCGGCAATCAAATGCCGGCAGAATGATCGCTGGACGGAGGCGCTGCCGACGGTGCTGCTCGGGATCCGAGCAGCGTGGAGAGACGACCTGCAGGCGACCGCAGCGGAGCTGGTGTACGGCCAGACGCTGAGGATCCCGGGGCAATTCCTGAGTCGACGACCTGTGGACAGCGAGGACGACGCGGCCGACTTCGCAAGGACGCTGAGGGAGCAGTTCGAGGAGCTGCGACCGGTGGACGGCACCCGACACGGGGAGCGACGGCCGTTCCTTTATAAGGACCTAGCGACGGCCGAACAGGTGTTCGTGCGACACGAGGGACCGAAAAAGATGTTGCAGGCGCCGTACGAGGGGCCGTACGCAGTCATCAGCCGAGGCGACAAAGTCTTTGTCGTGCGTATGCACGGCAAAGAGAAAACGGTCTCAATAGACCGTCTTAAACCGGCTTATATTTTACAGAGCGAGCCAGAAAACAACAGCCCGGCAGAGTCGACGGCACGAGACCGGGACACCGAGGTCGAGCAGCGAAACGCGCGAGAGGACGCGAGGCCGCTGCCCCGAGAGAGCCAGAGAACAACGAGAGCGGGAAGAAAGGTCCGATTCCCGAGTCGTTTCCAGGCGGGCCTGTAGCACCGGGGAGCCAGGATGTGCAGCAAACCCGTGAGAAATCACCGCAAAACGGAAATATTTAAAAAAATTTTTTTTTGACTAGTATTCGCGATTTCAAATTTCTTTGATTTGTGTTATCGTCGAAAATTTATGTATACACGGCAACAGCGACATAAGCCGCGAAACGCGAGAAGAAAAATTTGACGCGTATCGAGAACTTGTATATTCTGCGTTTTATATTTATTCTTGTAATTTAAATGGACGAGTCTCAGACCGAGAGCGACGGGCGACAGAATAACGTTAAGCACAGCGAAATTCTTCACGTATAGGTTGTCGGTATTCATTAGCATTTATTTATTACATCATTGTTATTTATTATTATTTATTTATTATTTATTTTTTTGTCACGTCATATTTATTCTCGACTTGGCGCTCGAATTTATAACGGCGAGCAAATGGTAACATTCGTCTCGGTCTGCCATCGGAAAGAAAAACTTTTGCGAAACAGTGCATCACGCAAACGTATCGTGCTATCGGTATAGCACTGGCGGGGGAGTACTGTGGCGATTACATCGTCACATACTTCCCTGAGATTAATAAGGAAAACACGTATACGAATACGAACACTGACATATACGAAAAGGACAAAGGCACAAGTAAATATAAATAAAATATTACAGACGAGACGAAAGACGAGTAGGACAGAAACAAAGAAGTAAAAATAGATAGAAAGTTCGCGAAGCCTCTCGAAGCCTAGCGAAGGGCGTTTTTGAGGCAAGGTATAAATAGGGATTTTTAGATAACGATATACCGTCTTCGATAGTTGCCGCGCACGGACGCATCACGTTTGTAATCCGAGCGATATATCTAACTGTATTCACGCGTACCGTTTACACTAAAGAATATATTCAGTTAATTCAATCATTGCATAACTTTATTTAATTCCCGCATCGTTCCTCCTAAGCACTCGCGACGCGCGTATATAACCAAAATTTTATCCTTTAAAATATAATCTATTACATTTAAAGCAAAGACTTTTTTTTTAATAGAATATGTGAAGCAATACAAAAGAAGCAAAAAAATTACCCAAAATGACCGAACTTATTGCTAGATTTTTGAAAGATTTCTTTCCTTTAGCTCCTTCCCAGGAGTATAGTATTCCAACTTCATTTGTGAAGATTTTGTACATAATTCTTCTTGTGATCTCTTTAACATTAAGCCCCCAACGCGACTTAATTCAATAATCTGAAATAATTAAAATTGTTACAAAAGTATAATAAGTATTAATTATCACTATATATATGCATTCGATTTTTTAATTATTCAAGGTCATACCAAATCTTTTTATTTTGATCATCTGCATTAAGCCACTGCTCTAATTCAGCTAATGTATTTTCATTTTTATTGGAAACAGATGGACAACACGTGGAATGTCTTTGACGGTTATCGTAAGCTCATCTTGAATTCTTTTGTTTTAATAAAAGAGCCGTACTTTCCATTACATCATTCAATTTCAAGTGTATAGCATTTAGTTCTTTTAATACTTGCTTCTGGAAATCTAAAATTTTTAAACTAATTGAATTATAAAAAGATTATTACTGACTAATCATTTGTGACTAAAAAAGACTATTATTGTTTATTACTAGAATTATATTACACAATTACTACAATGGAATTTAGAGGATCACAAAAAGAGGTAAAATCTTTTGGAAACAATCAACCGTCACATGGAGTACAGACAAAAGTAAATATTTTAATCTTTTTTTTCAGCAAAGCATAAAAACTTTTTGATAACGATTGTAGAAAAAAATACTATTTTTTATGTTTTGAATGTAAAGTGACTTTTGTGCTTCATGTTTGCAGTGCCTGTCTTAAGTATCATTTTCCGTTTTTGATACAAAATGTACTAATAAAGTGTTAATTTACCAGCATCAAAATTTCGAGGAATGTTACATTCGGTCGATTTAGTTACAACCTCGGTTGGTATATTTTGAACTAAGTTTCCATCTAGAAAAATAGTAAAAATTTTATTATATAGAAACTCAAAAATATATTTTTAGAGAAAATAAATGCTTACCACTTGATATAAGAGGGCTTGTGGGAGGATAACTATTAATATCTGATTCATACTGTGACAAATCAGAAGAGTCATTGTCAGACAAATACTTCGTCGATTTGTTTCTTTTCCCTTTTGGTTTACTATGTTGTTTCCTACATTTATCATTTTGCGACGAAAGATCAGACGTATATTTAGCCTTATTTGCTTTCCGTTGAGCAACAGATAGATCTTCTAAAAATAAGATTTGAAGACTTTTATGACTGTGCATAAATAAAGTATTATTATAATAAATCGCTGTCTCTATTTGTAAATTGTTTAATTAGTTGCAAAATAGTTTCTTAATTTTTCATTTATTAATTCTTTTATTTTATTAATTTATTTTATTTCAATAAAAAAGATAGTTTAGTTATATAAGTAAAAAATATATAAAATACTCATCTTACCATAGCTACCTAAAATGTCAACTTTATGAAGATTCCAATCAGATTCTGGCGTTTTCTTGAATTTTATAAATTCATTAATTTTCCTTGAAGTCCAATGCGATGAGGGCCAATTGCATTCTTTTGTATTTTTAAGTACCAAGATTTTGGTATTGCTTCAACCGTATCTTCATTTGCAAACTTAACGACGTACCAACCCATTTGCAAGTAAAGTTAATATACGTTATATGTTAAAATTTTTATATTGCTTGAGTAAAGAAAATAATTCTATAACATAAAGTTACAAAACATAATAAATATATTACATAAAAACATAAATTTACTAGACAACATAAATATTGCATATTATTTGATAAAGTTTCACTTTAATATAAAACTAGAAAGTTTATTTTTATCTTAAAAATGTATATTTACTAATATAAGTTTATTAAAAATAATTATTTTCAAAACGCAGTTAAGTAAAACTACGATTTAAATCACTTAATTCAAATGAAGCTAATTCTAGCATTTCGATTTATAAATGCAGCATTGGAAATGAAACATATTGATTATTGTAAATAAGAACTACTAATTTTTTTATTGATGTGTGTAATAGGCCACATTTTGAGTGAACTGTCGATTTTTCGAATATATTGTATATCAAAAAAAGATGACGAACATGGTTTAGTAAAAAAGTCTTTATGTCTTCTATATTCGTATCCTAATAATATTTCAAAATTCTTATAGCAACAAAAATTTTTTACTTCAACGATAGTTTTATCTTTAAGTTCAATAACCCTATCAGCCTCTTTTGAAACATGTATACAATAATTAATAGTTTTATATTTTTTATACTGAGGTGAAGTACAACCCTCGATTAAAGGACCTCCATTGTGTTCTATAGAGTT